GTTCATGACAGTCACATCGTCGTCGTGTCAGGCGCCTGCTGACCACCAGACACCGCCCTCGCCATATGATCTTATCATGCGGCGGCGCCGTTGGCGGAAAATGACCATGCCGACCGACCGGTTGTCTATTAATTGCCCTTTATCGTTGGCGTCCGCCCGGCACCATATATTATCGGTAGCGTCGCGTGACCGGGTGTCCGGACAAGTTCGGGCAACGGGTTGAGGTCTTCATCCATTACGCGTATTTGTATGTACAGCTGCCACAGAATCATGCGCTCGATTTGGTAGATCAATGAATGATATCGATTACGATTTTTTCTCTGGCTGCTAAAAAACGGGTTTTAAGGAAGGCAAATTTTCTGAATTTTTATTGCCAGGCTTTCAAGGTCATTTTTGAACCAAACCACAAAAATCAAATATTCAAATATTGCATGCCATGACGACACGTTCAGTGTTCATTAACTGACGATATGATGGTCTGTAGTACTTAAGGCGTGAGCGATTGTTTGGCATGTTGTTGCTGCATCGAGTGGCTTGACAAACGACAGTTAGTTCAACGGTACACTACACTAAATCACTCGACGCTCTTTGCAAGGAAGTGTTTGTTTTTTGAGAACTTAACGCTGTGGATATAAAGTTCTTCGCATTTTACACACTGTACACCATGTAGACTGATTTAAATGCAGATGTCAGGTCGGGAAATTTAGAATGAAGATACGCCGTTTGACCGATTTTATTTTGATTCTGATACTAGTATTTTGAATCTTTCAATCAATCTTGACTTTTAATCCGTCAGGGAGAAAAAAATAGGCGTCCAAAAAAATTTCGCTTTAAAGAAAGGCCTTTTTTTCGGTTTTTTTCATTTGCAAGTGTTTTAGGGTCGCATGTGAACCGCACATATCAAACATTCGAATATTACGTGCTCTTAATCCGATGAGTCTTTGATGACCTGACCGATTGTATGATTGTCTATCGTGCAACAGGTGTAGACGATCGTTTGTAATGCTGTTCCTTTAGTGATTGCGTGACAGACGACAGTTAGTTCCCTAATATGTCACATTTAATCACTCTGAGGCAAGCCACCAGTTATTTCGTTATTGATAACGGATAAATAGACGGTTAGAAGCCGGAACCAATATGCTAAATAGGCAGTATGCTTTTGGGAGCACCACTCAGGTTCCTTCTTCATCACAAAGTGCCAATGACTTTAAATTCTTTGTTATCTGTGACTATGATATCTTCTCTGAACATAATTATATTGTACTGAAGAAGGAACATCGTTGTGGGTTCCGAAATCTTTGTCCGTTAAGTACATTTTTCCATTTATCTAACCGTCCCCATCTTTATCTATTATCATTAAGAAGCCGTTTGTGGAACTAAATTTTGTTACTGGATATGACAGTAGATCTTTGATATGTAACTCGGTTCACTGACTACGGACGGACAGACGAAGACCATTGCTGTGTGATATCCAAAATTTTCCTGCGCAGTCCTTTGCATAATGCAACTTGCACAATGTCAGTGCGAATATTTTCCACCATATCCAAGTATGTGAAGTTATTTGCCAAAACAGACCTCTATCGAAGACCTATAATACCAGCCTTAGAGTGGATTTTTTTAAAATCTCAGTGACGCTAGGCTACACTAGTTGCACTTGTTCAGTGTGACATAATTCCCTTCTTTAATGCCACTGTTGTTTTGTCATTATCACCCGAAGCTAACAGAGCTTATACAGCTGGGCATCTCAGACTTTTGAAGTCTTACCGTTAGAAGTTGTACTTCCGATTGATTGATATTAGGCAACGGTCAATGTTATGTTCTTCTTCGCCAGCAGGTTTACCCTTCTTTAACATTTGCATTTCTTTGCCGGTTTAGCAGCGACCTCACTAGTTGTTTGCGTATTTCGTTATTCTCCTAGTCAGTTCTGTCTGGAAGTGCAAGGTGCGTTGCTTAAAACATTACATTGCCTTAAATTATCCATTTGATCTTGTTTTTAGAAAACGTAGAATTCTTTAGTGATACCATTAAAACTATAAACTTTCGTTCAGTTCACATATTGATCTCTCCTAAAGGATCACTTGTCTGAGTTCTTACGATCTTGCTGGATCTTTATGACGAAAGAAGCGCCAAATGAAAGGAAATATTCTGAATCGAAGCAGTCTGTCTGATTTCGATTGCTGAGTACCGGTCGATCAAGTTCTGAAGGCATTTTAGCGGTCTCCGGTCACGTCTTAATTATCTTGCAAAGGCATCCACAGGTTCTGCAAGTTTTCGTTTAGCCGGTCACTTGAAGGTTAGTATAGTTGTCGTTAAAGGTTTCGAAAATGATTTGGTCACATGAAACTAGAGTCAAAAGACTAACTAGACAATGTAATGCAGAAATGGGCAAAAAATTAAAAGATGAAAGAGGAAAGTTATTAGGAAGAGTATTAGCTCGACGGTGTCAACAATAATGCAAAACTGACCCTTTTCATATTGATCGAAGCAGTTTGAAAGAATTGATTCCTGCGTGAAATTCATCATGATGGGTCATTAATATCTGCGAAATGAGATATCTGCAAATACACTTATTTTACCAGAATTTCCATGCTGTTGTTGTCATCTTCATCTAAGTTAGCTGTCAAAGCTTTAATGGTTAAAGAGCACTGGCTCAGGCACTGTACGGTGCCAATCTAAAGCCTGTTTTTGCATGCCTGCCATCATTTGATACTAAGAGTCGTCATTCCTGCCCTACCGGCATGTTTAAGGCTAACACAGCTGAACCAGAGTTATACCTGATTGTTAAAAACGTTATTCGAGTTAATGTAGACAAAGATCTTCCTTCGTCAACATTAGGTCTGCCTAAAGGAGTCGTTTTAATTTTGTATTGTTCTCTAATGCATCATTAGAGCAAGAATGGTATTTTGCCTCCATCACCCACCAGTGTCATTCATTGAAATTTTTTTGCGAACCTTCTCCCATCCTGTCGATGTCGATCGTTTTGTTTTGTTCTGTTATGAGGCTAAACAGCATAGTGAAATGAATTAGCCATGCTTTCATCAAAGCAGGTTAATACGGACGATGACCTCTGATTCTTCCGCCCGAATTTTTAGTTAGAGATTTCTTCCTCTGAGCATATTTGCCTTAAAGGCTTCAATAATTCGGTGAACATCTGATAAGCATTATCGGGTTAGCCGATCGTTTCAAAAATTCATAAAGTGTTTAGGTGCTATGCTTTCTGTGTTGGTAATTGCCTCCTCTGCTAGATGAGGACGCAAACACTGGAGTTATGATTGACGAAGGTTAAGCATGACCAGAACCAAAATAAGATATCATAGAGGCTTCACTGTAATTCTTCCTGGTCTGCGGCTTCATCAGGTGACTGTTGCCAATTTCGAAAGAATGTTGATACTCATTTGTCATTGATGTGTTTTTTTGTCAATCAAAGTGTTCGACTGTCCCACTGTGTGAGGTTTCTTCAAAAATTATTTCTTGATTTGCGTCCCCTGATGATTATGACATTCAATGAGCAGTTATAATGAGGCACTCGCATCAGACAGCATTTCCATTCGACTAATTCTGACGTGACCCCATCAGAACATTATGTTGCCTCTGTTCTTCGTAAGTCAACGACCTCCCATTCGTTTCTCAGTTTGTTGCATCGAAACAACGTAAGAAGGTAGTTGCTCGAGGGAACTTGCCGTTGAGACAGAGGTCGTCGCTTCGGACCTATTCGAATTCAGCATCTTCAAAGTTAGAAATCGATCTCTTCGATATTGTGCCATCGTGTCCCAATGTATTTCCACCAGTGGCTGCAGCGATCGCCATCCATATCTGATCGAATTCTAAAGAGGCGAATAGATCAGCCTTACCAAGAATAAAAATCTGACTTTCTCTTTATATCCTCTTTCTAATTAACCGAGTCTGTCGAAATATGTCATCTGTTTGTCCTTTGATTTGGGATCTGTCTAAGATGTCGTCAAACAGCATACATTTATGAAATGGATTAGCTAAAGCTGCGTTTCAAAACATTCTCATTATAGTTATTTGGATCTAGACGTTCAATTTGTTGAGTAGTGCATTCCGTTTGCTGAGTTGTTCGCAGTTCATTGAAGAATTGAACTGATTTTCAAGTTCGAAGTTTATTGATTCTAGAGATTTAATTCCAGCCATTGCGTAAACGCTTTCACTTAGGAAAGGAAGCATGAACATTTCCCTATACATTATCTTTGCTTGGTCAGAGTATTGAAAAGTGGACTAAGACAGCAGATTGCTTTGAAATTTGAGCAATAAAACTTTTATGAATTAGCTTCGGCTTAAAAGTGTATATATGCTATAACAATAATTGAGTGATAGAGGATACTCAGAATTAGTCCATGTCGCATTTGCCATTTGTTATTGAG